ACGAGAGGGTCCCTTCTACGCCAAGGGGATGGCATTGTGCTGCTAGATGCAGAGGCCCTGCTGAGGGCCCCCGAGGGTACTCAGGTATTACACAGAGACAAAAACACACAGGGGGCCTCAAAAGCAACAGCAGCAGCAGCAGCAGCAGCAGCAGCAACAGCAGCAGCAGCAACAGGAGCAGCAACACCAACTGCTGCTGCTGCTGCTTCAGCCACCTCTAGAGACGGACGCGCAGGCGATCGCTTTGGGTCCTCTGTAACACTCGAGCCGCCGGGGCCCCCAAGGGTCCAGGGGGCCCCCGTAGGCTCTGGGGCCCCTGGGGGCCCCCCAGCACTACCAAAGAGTGTTTCATTAGGGTTTAGAGGGGACTCCAAGCGGGCTGCTGCTGCTCGCCTCCACCTGCGCCAGAGGGCAACGGGGATGGGGAGGGGGGGCCCCTTCAGCCCTACATGCGGCAGCGCGGGGGGCCCCTCTTCTGGGGCCTCCTCAGGATCCCCTACAGGGGCCCCCCCCGCGGGAGCCCCCGCAGGGGCCCCCGCAGGGGCCCCCGCAGGGGGCCCCTCCGGGGCCCCCTCGGGGGGCCCCTCAGGGGGCCCCTCCAGGGGCCCCCATAAGCACGGCTTAGGGGCGAGACGACTGGGCCCCGATGTTACGTCTATCTCCCTTCAGGGGGGGGGCCCCCAGGGGCCCCTCAGCCCTCAGGAGAGGTCCTACAGCTCGTCGGCGCTTCATGGGGACAGAGAAGAGACACAGGGGCCCCCGGCGTGGGGCCCCCTTGAGCCTCTGCACTTTGCAGCAATGGAGGCAGCAGGGCCTTCTTCCCTGCAGCAACTGCAGCAACAGCAGCAACAGCAGCAGCAGCAGCAGCAGCAACAACAACAGCACAGCCAGCGAAGGGAGGACGGGGGCCCCCAGTACCCACATAGGGGCCCCCCTGGCTGCCCCACTTGGGCCCTCAGTCGTATCAGGGCTGTAGCAGAGCAGCTTAATGAGGGGGGACGCCTGGGGGCCCCTGGGGGCCCCCCCTCAGCAAGCAGTGCAGCTGCCCCTGGAGGAAACCTAGAGGCCCCCGACTGCCCCTCAGGTGTATATGCAGGGGCCCCTCTGGGCCCAAGGAGCCCCCCCGACACAGCAACCGCAGGTATAGACAGTGGTGGGGGGGCCCCCAGCAGCAGCAACAGCAGCAGCAGCAGCAGCAGCAGCGGCAGCAGCAGCAGCAACGGGGTGGAGGAGGGCCCCCCAGCAACAAGCTCAAAGAGCTGCCCCCCCAGCGCTGAGGGGCCCTGGAGTTGGGGGCCCCGCCTGCCGAGCGTCTCCTTTGGGTCCCCCAGGCAGCGGCTGCCCCCCTTGGGGCCCCCCAGCCAAAGGGGTTCGCAGGGGGGCCCCCAGCGAGTGTTACGAGGTTCTGGGGGGCCCCTCAGCCCTGTATGTACAGGGGGCCCCTCGGGTACCCTAAGGTCCTCTACTGCGGGTTCTCCGGGGCCCCCAGGGGCCCCGCAACCCTCAACCCCACAGTACCCAAACTGGGCAGAGGGGGCCCCCCCGGGGGCCCCCCTGGGGCTCGAGAGCCTCACTATTAAGAGGGTCGTACCCACCCTGAGACCCCAAAGGCCCCGCCGCAAAGACAGTGCGCAGTGAGGGGCCCCCCAGTACCTGGGGGGCCCCCATGGGGCCCCCATGGGGCCCCCAGGGGCCCCAAAGGGGCCCCAAAGGGGTACGGTACGCAGGGGGCCCCCAAGGGGCCTGCAAGGAGCCCAGCACAGGGGGCCCCCAAGGGTTATACAGGGGGGCCCCCAAGGGGCCCCCTCTTGTTTGGTACCCTTATTAGAATATATAGAAAGGGCGGGGGTTGGCTGCAGGTGTGCTGGAGTCAATGTTAGATAGTGCAGCATACACAGGGGGCCCCCAGGGGGGCCCCCCAGGGGAATCTAGGGGCCCCCAGGGGGCCCTTTGTATTGTATTTGGGGCCCCTGGGGGCCCCCGGGCCCCCGGCACGCCAGAAATATATTTATGCTGCAACAGAACTTTGTTTGGGGGCCCCTATCGGTTGCAGTGAGCCCCTGTAGATAGGGAGAGGCTTAATGTATGTATAATGTATACTAAATATGTAATATATATATATATAT